GAAAGTGTACGGACAACGGGCTTAATGTGATTGCGCTAGAACAAACAGGGTGAACTTGCCGCGAGAACCTTGACACCAAGCTACAGTAGCATGACTGGGACCGATCTGCATAAGAAGGAGACCTCCGAAGACTTGTAGTCCAGTGTCGTCATGGTACTTGTTTTGTTCTTACCAAGAATCTCGGTTTTTCCCAACTTTGCAAACGAAGAAGCTGCCTCGTGCTTGCCGACTTTTTCATGTTTTACTTGAGGACAAGCAAAGATTCAAGCTTAGGGGAGTTTGATAACACGAAATCGTATATATATTTTGGTGCATAATTTAACTGAAGTTTAACTGTTTTTGATCCGATTTCGGGTTATTTCCGTGTTATTTGTCTGATGTTTTGCAGGTATTTAACGATCACGTCTAAACAAGGCAATATGAAGAAAAGAAGTAATCTCAGACGAAATATAGACGAAAAAAGGGTGAAAACGTCATGAAAAGCGCAGAAGGCTGTTTTTGCTGCTGTGACGACCGTCACAGCTCCATGACGACCGTCACACGGGTGACGACCGTCACACCTTGTGACGACCGTCATGCAGGCAAAAACGCCCCACTTCAATTGCACGTTAAAGAAGCAGTTCCAAGTCCCAAATAGTGGACCACTACTCCCTGATTATTCTGCCTCAAAGTCCATCCTCTTCAAGTTATAACCGTTAGAATTCCATTTCTATAAAAGGGGGAAGAAGGGGACCTCAGAAAGGGAGCCGCATTCATACAACGAAGTGCTGCCAAATTTATTTTCAGAGCATACCTTTCCAGTTTTAATATTCTTATTTGTTTCTCCTTTCATTTTCTGCACTCCTTTTATTCTTTCTGTAATTCCTATTTCCGCTATACGATTAAATTGGCACAAAGACCAGAATCCTGCCAACATCTGTGGAGGATCTGCCCAAAGGCCAATTGGAATATTTACAGGTTTCTCATTTCAATCGTAATTCCAGTTTTATTATAATGCATATTATTATTTATTGTTTTTATTTATGTTTTATCTTTCCCAAATCCATGTCTAGCTAAATTTAAGTAATCGATATGTAGTAATAATTCGAAAGGGATTTGATAATAACTGGTTGAAAATTGTCTTTTCAAAAGTAATTTATGGTCTGAGTGTTTAAAATTAATTTACTGAATAAACTTCGTCGCGAAAGTGAGAACTTATTTAAAATTATTTTTGCCACAAAAGTGGGAAATTAATTAAGATACGAACCAACAAGCGAAAGCTGCGGTAAGATCAGATAGTAAACACTAGTCATTCATTTTAATAACAGCGAAAGCACTTTAAAATGAATTAGAACTTAGAGATTTCCAAAAAATAGTTTAAACCCCGAATGGGATACGAAAGTGTACGTTTGGCCCTTAGAATTATGATTAGCGTCAATAACCATCGTGAGGCGAGAGTCTTCAAATCACCATTTTTCTGCTTAAATAAACTCTGAAAATTATTTCATACACCGGTAACTTGTCAAATCCCTGAAGAACATAACTACTGCATATCGATTCAATTAATTATAATCTAAGTAACATTCTTAGTTTCCCTTTAGTGACAATCTTATTCCCTTAAACATATTCTACCTAGCTAAACATAGTAACTCCCAAGAACACTAGTTTGATTACGAGTCCCTTGGGATCGATATCTATTATTACTACGCGATAGACTGTGCACTTGCAGTTAGGTTGTATTAGACATAGAAAGTCGCGATCATTGACCCCTACCATACATGCTTTACACATATGCCTATATAATGTAGCCAAACAAGCAGAACCCCAACTATATCTATTGCATTTATCTAAATCTCCTACTAGGGGTATCCAAGAAGAATGTAAATAGTTATGGCTCTTGTCTGACATTAATACTTTAGTTATGAGTAGTAAAATGTTATCCTCATCAGATGGTGTTGCTATTTGTCGTAATCGTGCTAATGTAGTTTGTAGCCAAACAATTTTAACACACGCTTTATGTTTATCGGATGTTGTAGGTTCGATGCCTAAATGTTCCATATATACATACTCACAAAGACCCAATAACATTCACGGCATTCACGGCATTGCCATTCACACGAAGACCCAATAACATACTCACATCCTCCAAAGTGATGGTACATTCACCTGTTGGTAGATGGAAAGTATGTGTTTCTGGTCTCCACCTCTCCAACATATCAATTACAAGCTTTGAATCAACTTTGATTGAGGAGATTTCTGCAACTTTTGTGAAACCCGCTCGTTCCAAAAATGGTTTAATTGCATCGCTTGGTGCATCGATAGCATGAGAATGTAGTCTAAATCTCTCGCTATCGGACTGTTACAAATATAAAAAATAAATAAATACAAACTTGATGAAGAAAAAAACACAAGTGTGAATAAAAAAAACTTACAAATGCGGCAACATTGGCCGGTGTTCCCCGATGATTTTCTCTCATCCACAACATTGCCATTTAGAAGTACTGAAATATTGGTTTAGAAGTAGTGATTTTCAAGAATATATGCTGAAGTGGTGATTTTGAAATATTGGTTTAGAATGTATTTATAAGAAAAATGGATACACCCTACTACATAATACACACCAATATCCTTTGGAAAACAACATGCATGCAATACTAGATTGCACCATATGATTCTTCTACAGCCTAAATTGATTCTTCTGCACCCTAATGTATTAAACCCTAGAAGCATGCAACGACAAGTGGCCAGCATGCAAATTGCCCTCTTTAATGGTTCGCCCTTGGAATGGACGAACCCCTACACGTTCCTCATGGGTTCGTCCTTTGGTTGGACGACCCTTAACTAAGCATGAATGGGTTCGTCCTTTGGATGGACGACCCTTAACTAGCTCAGCATGCACGCCTGTTTTATATATTTTACATGCAATTGTTGCAGACTACACATCTAACTCCCACTCCCACACTCACACTATCAGTATCAAAAAATAATTCATGGCAGATAGAAATACATTGGTCACTATGCACTATAATGGTTCCGTGTTTACTGATGAAAATATCGGTTTTTCATTCAACGGAACAGATACGGTGATGTTCAAACTTCACCGAAGTTCTGATATCCTTCATCTAAAAGATAGAATTGAAAAAAAAGTGAATCGTTCAGTTCAGGATATTACTTACCGTCAACCATTACCTAATGGGGTAGATGGTGGTGTGTTTTACGTAATGATGCAAATAGACACAGACAGCGCAGTCAAATCAATGTTTCAATGTCATTAGACAATGCCCCAGTTGAAGACGATTGAGTTATATGTTCGCCTTGAAGACGAAGCATATCCAACACAATCATCATATTCGCATCAATACAGAGTGAGCCAAACAACTGATGAAGAAATAACGCAAAATAATGAACCGTTCATCCGGGACGGGGAGGTTGGTGAATACAGTGACGATGAGCTCGATAATGTTCGCTTTGAAGATCTATTCGGTGATGACGATGACGAGGGTGACGATGAACTCGTGCATTCAGAGGTAATATATGTTCAACCCATAAATCTGTACAATCCACCAGTGCATATGTCAAACATATGTATGGAGTCTTCTCAACCCATCTATATTTTTGAAAATGACAAACCAAACCGTAATGGTGAAAAATTGGAAGTAGGTTTGGTGTTTCAAAATAAGGAAGCGTGTGTTCTTTTTTTACAACATTGGCATATTAGTAACAACCTTGACTATGCAGTATATAAATCTGATTCAGTAAGGTATATAATAAAATGTACGAACCCACAATGCATCTTCAAATGTAGAGCTGCTTTGCGTAAAAAAAGCACATTCTGGGAGATCGCTACTATAAAGGGATCACACACTTGCACAACAACTTCTATGCCACAGGATCATAGAAAATTAGATTTTGAAATTATTACCCACAGCATCAGAGAACTTGTTAACAGCGACGCTTCACTAAAAGTCAAAGTTATACAAGCCCATATTGTTGAAAAATACGGTTATAGAATCTCATATCGAAAAGCTTGGATTGCAAAGATTAAAGTTGTAGAAGCACTTTATGGGAATTGGGAGACGTCTTACAATGACCTACCACAATGGTTGTTGGTGTTGAAGACATATCTTCCTGGAACTGTTATACAGTTGGAAACATTGCCGATTATTACAGAGGACGGGACCCAATTGGGTGACAAACGGAAATTTCACCGACTTTTTTGGGCATTTGAACCGTGTATCCGTGGTTTTAGTCACTGTAAACCAATCGTGCAAATTGACGGAAACTAGTTGTACGGCAAGTACAAAGGCACTTTGTTGATGGTTGTGGCACAAGATGGAAATGGTAACATTTTCCCGATAGCATTCGCATTGGTTGAAGGAGAGACAAAGGATGGTTGGAGTTTCTTTCTCAAGAATTTGAGAATGCACGTGACCCCCCAGGCCCATCTTTGTCTAATATCCGACCGGCATCCATCAATCAAGAGTGCTTACGATGATCCTGAAAATGGGTGGCAGTTTCCTCCATCTTCACATGTTTACTGTATCAGACACATTGCGCAAAACTTCATGCGTGAGTTCAGAAACAAAGCACTACGGAAAACAGTTGTCAACATGGGTATGTCTACATCTTCACAAGTTTTACTGATCATTTTTTGATCATTTTGTTTTACTGATCATTTTGTTTAAATATTTTCATCTACAGGATATGCACTAACAGAGGCAACATTTAACTACTACAAGGGCGAATTACGAAGAACAGATAGAGCAGCTTTGGAGTGGATAGACAATATTCCCAGAGAGAAGTGGTCGAGGGCGTTCGACGGAGGACAGCGGTGGGGACACATGACCACAAATTTGGTCGAGGCTATGAACTCGGTACTTAAGGCTACCTGAAACCTTCTTATTACAGCATTGGTCAAGTCAACGTACTATCGTCTAGGATCGCTGTTTGGAAAACGAGGACACGATTGGACAAAACTGTTGACATCCGGTCAAACTTTCACGAAAAACTGTAACAAGGGAATGGCCGACGAGGCGATTAAATCTAGTAGCCATAATGTCATTCAATTTAATCGCGAGAGATTCTGTTTTATGGTTGCCGAAAGCATTAATCAACGCGATGGTCGGCCATTAGGTACTTTTAGCGTTGATCTCAGGAGAGGGTGGTGCGATTGTAGGAGGTTTCAGGCATTTCATTTACCTTGCTCTCATGGAATCGCAACATGTGCCAGTATACGACAGGACCATAACATGCACATACCAGATGTTTTCAAGGTTCTAAGTGTATTCAAAGTATACAGCCAAAGCTTCCTTAGACTACCACACCAGCAAAATTGGCCAACATATGAAGGATTCACTCTTTGCCATTACGAGACAATGCGAAGAAATAAGAAAGAGCGTCCAAATAGTACAAGAATTACAACTGAAATGGACGATTTTGAGAAAGAAAAGAGAAGATGTGAAATTTGTCGAGAAATCGGTCATATGCGGAGAAAATGTCCGAACGTGGCAGGCCCATCAAATCGGCCCGTCTAAAAATGATGTATTTTTTTCACTCTTAAATATTAATAATATTTTCTTTTTTTATGATTTAATTTATCATTTTATATAATTATTTAGTTTAATAATTAATTTACTAATGTGAAAAATATTTACTAATATGAAAAAATTATTTAAAATAATTAAATTATTTATTTATTAATATAAAATATCATTTAAATAATTTTAATATATAAAAAACTATTTAAAACATAAAATAATAAAATATAATATATAATTATTTCTGAAAATTTAAAAAAAAAAACAAAAAAAAAACAGCTAGTGCAAGGTCGGCCAATGGATAACCAAATCCATGCTGCACGAAAAGACCCTTCGAGAATAGTCCTTTCAATGGACGAACCCACGATAAAGTTGTGGCATTTCTAGAAAAAAAAATTTTGATGTGTGACAATTTAATATATTTAATTCCAATAGATAAAAAAACTCACATTTTGATACGAAAAAACAAATTTATTTTTGTATTAATTTTGATTCGTTATAAAAAGATAGAGTAATTTAAACTTTTATGAAAACAATAATTGAATACTAGATATTGGTCGGTTTTGGCGGGAAATGAGTTGGGTATAATGTCAGAGCAGTTTTTCAGCATCGGGTACTCTCTTTCAGACACGGGGTCCCACAACTCATCCTTAAAAACCTAACCCGTGACCCTACTACTAATTACACGCGCTATTTCCCGCGAGTGAGTGTGTTTTAAGTGCTTGAAAGTCGCGAGATATGTAGGACAGTGGGGTCCACAAAACCCTTTTCTTCTTCGACCGTGCTCCCCAAAAGTCCACAATCAAACGATTTTCGTCATCCGTTGTGGACCCCACGCGCTTTTGCTTTTTTTGCTTTCGTTTTCTTTGTCTTTTTTCTAACTTCATCTCATGACTTCTCTTATTTTTGGCTGAAAATTATGACTTCCTGTTTCTTGTCTATTCTTTCCTTTCCACTTTTGGTTTTTCTTTTCTCGCTTTTATTTTCTTTTCATTTTTTTAATTTAAAGATATTTTGGAAACAAAATAGTAAATTTCTTTCTTTATGGATATTTTTTATATTTCAAAACGAAGTGACAAGTATTATAAATTCTGGCATTGTTTTGAGTATTTTGTCCGGAACAAAATATTTAATGAATTAAAGTTTATTTTAAAAATAAAAATATTATATAATATATTTTATTTATTTATTATGAATGTTAGGTCAGCTAACCACTCAACAAATATAATTTTATTTATATTTTAAAAATTGAATCGGACTGACCAGTTAAACCAATTAAATTAAAAATTAAAAAAATTATTGATTTAATTATTAGATTAAATATATTATTGATTAGTGAGAACCAATTAGAACAGGCGAAAATGGATAATCAACCATTTTAAATATCAGCGACATAAATGTTTGTTGTTTTTCTTCCATCATTTAATAATTTTAAAATAAAATTAAAATACAAATAGACTTTGTTCAAAGCAATTTGAAACAATTTTTTATTTTTAAAATTAAATTTATTAACCAGATTTTATTTAAAATTTATTTAAATTTATATTTTATACTATTTTTTTATTATATTTAAAATTTGAGTTTAACAATGAATATGGTATTTTAAAATTTTGTAAGTATCATAGTTTTTTTTTAGACAAAACCATTTAGTTCGACTAATTTAATAATTATATAATTTTGTTATATAAGATTAATTTATTCAACCGAATTATTTAATTAAATTCGATTTAATTATGAGATTCAATTCATAATCCAATGGTTCGAATAAGTCCATATCCATGCATGTTTAATAGCGGGTTCAATTTTTAAAATATTATTATTTTTATTACTTAATTTTTAAATTCATTATAAAAGCGATAAATCTAATTCACATATAGATCATACATGATGTATATCAACTATACAATACATTTAAAAAAACAAATATTTATAGCCTATCAATTTTTTATTTATAATAATAACATGAAATATTATGGTTATTATTTAAATCAATAGGACAAAGTTAGGTAAGTGTTCTAGTAGACAACTTTTGAGGAAAAGGAAACGGTTGGCAAGGATTCCTTTTTGATAAAGGAAGAAAGATACTGAAATGCTAATACTAAGAGATATGTTTGAATGATTATATTATTAAAGATGAATTATTAATATTATTTTAAAGAATGCGCTTAGTATAAGGTTAAAAACTTTTCTTTTTTGTGTCTTTATTGCATTCTATAAATATAAGATGTATTATGGGCATTCTATAAGGTGCATTATGGAATGGAATGGTGAGATATTATGTTTCGTAAAAACTATCGATTTGGACCCATGAGCTTTAGGGTGTATTAGTTGTTAAATTTGTATATTCTTTCGAAAACATAATTTTTATATTTGATTCATTATTAAAATAATTAAATGGTTTATATCTTATTAGAAAAGTTGCACCATCTACATGAGTGTGTAGTAGAGATGTAACACATGTGTAAAAGTTTTGCACCATACACCTAGTGCGTAGGAGAGATGCAACACAACAAGTGTAAAAGCTTTACCCAGCTCTAGATGAGTGTTTAGTAGAGATGCATGAATGTATGTTAAGTATGTGTAGAGTTGCACCACATGAGTGTGTAGTAGAAATGTAACAAGTGTAAAAGTTTGCACCATACATGAGTGTAGTAGAGGTGCAACACAAGTGTAAAAGCTTTATCTAGTTCTAGATGAATGTTTAGTAGAGATGCATTAATGCATTAGTATAAATACATTTACCATGGCATTATAATTCCCAATTAATTAAACAATGTGGAATGAAGTTCATAATGATTTATTATGATATCATTCACTTAGTTCAATCTCTTTCGATCTCTAGTTAATTCTAATTCAGTTGTGTATTGATATATTCGTAAAGAGCTTATAATAATATAAAGGATAATCTCATATTTATACATATACTTAGGGCTGGCAATAAACCAAACCAACTCGAAGATAGTTCGGAATTCGATTCGACAATTAAATCGTTGAACTAGGTTCATGAACCAAATGAGTTGAGTATGAGCGAAAAATTAAGTTCGTTAACTAAATGAGCTGAACTTGAACTATACATAGTTTGACTCGTTAGGTTCATGAGTCAACTTGATTACATATGAAAAGAATTATACTGTCTTTAAGATTAGGTTTAAATATTTACTTCAAATCTTAGACAAATTTAATCTTCAATTTAGTAGTTTTTGAATTAGACTCTCAAATGCATCTCTTGAAAGTTGTGTAGGTTTTGAATTAATAGATTTCGAAGATAAATTTAAATATCAATATGATAACTTTTATTTTATTTTAATATTTTATTTTAAAATATATATATTTATTTAAAATGTCAAATATACTAAAAAATATATATATTTAAAAAAATAGTTTTTAAGTTCGTGAACCATGTGAGCTGAACCTAATGAGATGAACCTAACGAGTCGAACCGAACTGTTCGTGAACTTATAACGAGTCGAGTTTGAGCTTAAAAAAAAGTTCGTGTCGAACTCGAACTCGAACAATTCTTAACGAGTCGAGCCGAGCTGAGGTGAGTTCGACTCGACTCGACTCATTTCCAGCCCTACATATAATACATAGGCAAAGCTTATCACCTCCCTATGTGAACTAGCTCTAAACCCCACAACAAATCCTAAAAATCTCTAGCAACCCTTAATCATTAGAGGTTGTCACATATTGTGCTTTTAGCAAGTACAATTGACACCTATTATGGGGCTCCGATAAAACTAACATGAGTCACACTCAACTTTACCAATAGTTTGCTTTCACCATCTTCTCACGAGGATTTTCACGCAAAGCTCTACAATCGTCGTCAACACCGTCGTCAAGCATTTCACCGATGGGGAGAATTCAGTTCCTCCCATAGAAAGTACGTTAGGCAAGTTTTGACATCAAATATTGTTGAAATTCTAGGTACACAACTGTGGATGTTATCACGGATGTTATGACATCCATTGTAACACAGACTACTAAACTTAAGGATAAACTGTAAATGAAAACAGTAAATAACACAAGTAATTGTTTACCCAGTTCAGTGTCAACCACACCTACATCTGGGGGCTACCAAGCCAGGGAGGAGATTCACTATTAGTAGAATTAAATCACAGTCAAATAACCAGTTTGCACTCTTCACTTAAGACCTACCCAGTGACACTTCAGCCTAATACTAGACCAGAGTTTCCCACTCACTCCCCCTCAATCACAACAGTGATATTAACCAATTCAAAGTTACAAAAGGCAATGAAGTCACACTTCAAACACACCTTGATCTTGCTTCACAACTTTGATCAAGAGACACAACTCTCTTGCTTAAAAGCTTAGAGTGACACACTGAACAGACAGTTCACAAACACTAAACCAAAGCAATCATGCAGCAGACAATTGCTTGGCATACAAGTATCCTAAGACACAACACACACGTGAAGAACAACTTATACAATCAGACTTCTTCACTCACAAACACACGTTCTCTGAAACCCTGTCAAAAACTGTCTTCAATTAGGATTGCTCCTTCTGTATATATAAGCAGCATACAATCCTTGGGCCTTCGTACATAGGTTAGGTTTACCCAAGATAAACCTCTCTTCATGAAGCTGCGCACGTCCAATTGAGTCAGGAGCATTCCATGTTATCCTAAGCAATGCTTGATATGTCGCCTAAGATAACTAGACTTCCTAAAATGTTTCCTGAAGTATAGTCAGAGCTAATAACAGAAACTAATATATGCGCACCCTGATGTCATAACATTCAGTCATGACATCCAACTTAAGTGACTCTTAGCTATTTAAACTTACCCTGTTGAATCCTCATTATGTATGTCATAACATCATTCATGACATTCATACATCCATCAATGTTTTGCCATAAGATACAGCCAATCAAAAGCATCTACAAACTCCCCCTTTGGCAAATTTTTGGCTAAAACATTTTGTTACCATATCAGAGATTACAAGTAGCAGAAGTCATACCATACATGCAGGAAAACT